ATTGTTTTTTATCATAATAATTTTTATTTATTTACATCTTACTTTTTTTCATAATTTAATTGTGGTTGGATTGGAAGGAATATTAGTTACGTAAGATTAATTAATTACATATAATAAGAAGTTATCCCATATAGTAGTCTTTGGAAGGAATTGAATTTTGATGAGTAAGTGTTTATCCACCCACAAAGACTGAGTCTCTATTGGGTGTCTAGTGTTTATCCACCCACAAAGACTGAGTCTCTATTGGGTGTCTAATACATAAAGTGGCCAATTATCCTACACCAAAACAAGACAAAGAAACAAAGAAAACAACTTTGCCTTCAACGGATCCCCACTTTACCTCTCGCCAAAATCTTGCACCTCAACTCTACTGCTTATTCAACATCTTCTCCTCCTTAAGGATTATCCTTGAGGATTATTGTGATTTGTGATGGTTGAAAAACATTTTAAAAAATAAAATGTCAGTCATAAAAGATCACAGTTAACTAATATTATTGTTAAATTTTTATGTGAAATTGTGTTAATATATTAAGACATGGTTTGGAATAAAGTACTACTCCCATTAATATAAATTTTTTTAGTTAAATAAATATTAAAAAAAAAAGAAGAAGGAGAATCTTCTCCTTGCATAGCTAGATTGCCTTCAATTGACCCCTCCCCTGCCTCTCATTGAAATGCTGCACCCCACACCCCACATCCACCACTTAGTCATCATCCTTCGACCCTCACGATCCCCACGCTACCCTCAAACAACCCTTGGCACACCCAGCCATCACCTACCTCAAGATTCCATCTCTCTCATCCATAGTCACATTTTCCTCTCTAAAATTTTTTTCAGACTTAAAAGATAAAAATTTACATATTAGCAACTTCAAAAAATGCTTAGCGAAACGGCCTCTAAATCTTTTTCCTTGAATCGTTGTAATATACTAAGAAATTTCAATAACGTAATGGTTGCAATAACTTAGAAGTTTGGACAACAAAGAAATTAATTATATCAATAATGACTAACTATATACTCCTGTAATTTGCTTTAAAAATGGAGAAGGTTATAATAAGACAAAACACATAATCCAATTTTCATATTCTTTTTTAAACTTCTCATTATTCTCATTATTTAAAAAAATACTAGCTAATCTATGTTTAACTTAAATTAAGATAATCAATAATAATGGCTTCACTTGCAAATATCGGAGGAGTAAGTTGTTTCCAAGCTTCCAACTAGGGGCAAAGCCCTTCTTCCTCAAGCTGAACTCATCTCGGAGGGTAGCTACAGTGTTCCCTTTCTCATCGAGGCTCGTGCTTCTCAAATTTTATCAATACTCTCTTTTACAAGAAGAGTTGATTCCGAGGACCCATGTGGTTGTTTCAGTCCACCATCTGAAGTAGTTTAATGACATATTTTTATCAATTCAATATATATTTAGCTTAATTTCTTAATCAATAGTGTTATTATTATGTTATAACCATAAAAAAATAGTCTTAATTATATATGGTGAGAATCCATATGCTCTATGATCTCATCAAATGGTAAAGATTATCAAATGTTCTTTCTTTAAAAAAATAAAAATTCCAACAAATATTACCAATCTCATGCATTATATTGACCTTGAAATTGTTGTGATCATGATTCATGAGCGCTTTTGTAAATATATTCAATGGCTCCTAGAAAGAAACCTACACCTTAATTTTCAGTCAAACTGAGGCCCCAATTCCTTTCAAAGCATCATTTTCACGGGAAAACCGTCTAAAGAACACATTCACTTTCATGGCGACATCGTTTCTTACTTTCTTTATAACAATTTTCAAAGAATTAAGGAAGGATCATCCATATGTTTATATTTTTGGTCGGGTTACATCCTTGTTAAGACCAGTCAAGCCGACATCTTGGTTACATATGGGGCCATTGCACGTGCACATCTAGATTTTGCCATAAATCTAGGATTACTTATCATTCCAAGTTTAATTTGTTCTCAAACTAGAACAAAACTTAATTATCTGGGTTATTAAATTTTATTTTCTTACTCACAAGTAGACAATATACAAATATATATAATAGTTAATTAATTAATTAAATGGTTTTTAATTAAGTTGTTGAAATAAATAACAAAAACATATGGTTAAAAATATATCTAATTAACAACGTAACCAAACTACCTCAAAAAATAACGTAATCAAAACACCTAAACTATGGATTAATAGTAAATTATAGCTAGGTTCGTACTAGGGTTTTCATTTTATTATTTTAGCGTAACTCGTGTGTTGTGATTTCTTTTTCTACTTAGATGTTCAGACATCGATTTCGATCCCAAACATTGATCATGAGTAACGACAAAAGCTTTTGTTGCTTGATGATATGTTGATAAACAAATAATTAGAAAATTAAGCTGCAACAGCAAGTGTGTGTTTTTATAAATAATTTTGTACTTAAATTGGAATCAAAATTAAGGGGGTTAAGTCATTCTTGTTTGTATTAAAGTTGTGATTGTACTTTGAATAGGGAGCACATTTTCAAAGTCTAAACCACAATATAAGGACTGCTTAGAATCATCAATGGAGCTTCAATGGTTAAGGACAAAAAGAGTGTCATTTCACGAGGATCATTAACAGAAGAAAAAATGAGATGGGTCTTCAAGGAACTGATTTAATTTTTTTTCCCCTTTTATTATAGCTAATTATTAAGAAATTAAGTTAATTAAATTAAACATTGGTAGAGACAACCCGGAGAAGCTAAAATTAAGACATTCAAGTTAAGATTAAGACACGAAATTAACTTACTTGGAAGAGGTTTCTTTTGACCAAGAAAGCAACGTATTTGAATTGTAGTGTAATAAACATTGAGATAATTTGGCCCTACAACTGTTGTTTTGTCTTTAACCTATGATGTTGATAGATTCTTTTTGTGCTTGACTCTTCATATAATGGAAGTAATAATTATAAACTCACCACAAAATCCCAAATAAATCCCAAATAAACTATCGTTAATTTTTTTTGTTTTTCATTTGTAATATCTACTTGTTCAGAATTTACAAGAAATTACCTACTTATGGTATCTTGATGGTACGAATATGATACTCCATCACCAGAATTCAACCTAGTAGTTTTAAGTATCTTAATGTTGTTTGATTATCTGTCCAGCACTGCTGAATCATCTTTTTCTTTAGGGAGGACACATACTTTCTTCCGACATTGAACAGATTGTTGATTAACTAGGTTTTTCCTGCATTAATTATCTAAAGATAATACATTACTTTGGTAAGGATTCTTACATTAGGTTGGCAATGTGTCCAAAAGTGCAATCATGTTGGTGATTTGAATATGTATGGATGGTTACCTTAGCCTGTTTCCCCCTGACTTTTTCTTTTGAAATGACACAACTCTTTACTCTCTGTCTGGCATTTTTGGGGACTTTTTTTGTAGCTTTTCATTAGAAAATGCAGTCAAGTACAGCATTTGCTCTACAAATATTAGAAAATGCACTTCCAAAATGCTTATGGAGAAGCATTGAGAAGAATTTTCTGTCCATCCAAACCACAGTAATATTTACGTGACAGACAACCAAATTTTAGAACTTGAACCCCTCCTTTTACGAAGGAAGGATTTCAAAAAAGAAAATTATTGGTATATTTTTTTCATTAAATATATTTTATAATTATTTATTTAAAAATTATTATTTTTAAATTTAAATTTAAAATAAAAAATTTTATTTATAAAATTTAATGATTAAATTAATAAATGTTAATAAATATATTAAATTAAAAAATACATTAATCATTACTTTAAAAACAAATATATATAAAAGTCAATATACCCATGGACCACCGTCCTAAAGGCTACGGAAAGTGGGGATTTTAGAAAATTTTATCTCTTTTTACCGCACAAGTGCACAACCAACAAATAATACATTCTTTCGTTTCGCGAAAGTTCAATTCTAAGTTCTTAATTAATACTTGCTAAAGAACTTTAACAGGCGGCGACACGGCGCAAATGATTTACTTTTAATCAAATGTGAGAAGAAAAATTAATTTTAAAATACATATAAATTAATTTAAAGATACTAAATGCTAAATTAAAAGAAAAGAATGCTCCTGTAATGTCATTATTGAAATTTCGTCCTTAAATCTCTGATATATTTTTTTAAAAGAAAAAAAAAAACCCATTAGCCATTTATTTGGTGATAAAATGTTTATACTCTTAGTTGAAGGGTTTTTTTTTTTTTAAGAAAAAAAAAAAGCCTGTGGTTTGTTTTATGTTTGGCAGATCATAGATGTTTAAGAAAAGTACATTGCGGAAAATGTGTTGATAAAACAAAAATTTTCTAACAGTAACCTTGATTAATTTCTTACCTTACCTATGATGCTATATATAGAATTATAGGGTGGCATAGGGGTGGCAATTTAATATCACCACCATTTATTCTTCATCCAACCCTTATTTTAAGGTAGGTGGTGTTGGGAAGCCAAATTATTAATATTAAAGCAAGAAATTATGTGTTGGACAGCTTAAAATATAAAGAAATTTCTAGGACAGCCTTGATCTTGGAGGAGGTAAATACAAGAATGGTATTTCTGGAAGAATATCTGAACTTCCAGGACAGCAGAAAAGGCAACACTTTTTTTTTTTTTTTTTTTTTGATAAGGACAATAGTTAGTGGATTAGTATTGTTAGAAGTCAACAAGTAGAATTCAATCTCCAAATTTGATGAACAACTCACTGTCCTCAATGAGACGTGCGGCCATCAAGCCGCTTGGTGGAGTTCCAGAAAAAGCAACACTTGTGCTTAAAGGAAGAGGAAATTAAGGAGTGTGAATATGGATATAGGTGGGGTTGGAGGCTAGCAGATATTAGCACCTCTAATTCTAATGGTGTCCACAGTGCCAACTAAGGAAAAAAAATCATGGGATAAGGTTGAAGTGAATAACCAAGGGTTGGTACGAAAAGGCCATGAGGAAGTGATTTCTAACAAATTCTCTAATCTCGGCATAGATAGTTGTAAGAGAATACTAAAATTTTCAATCGAGAGATCAAGGAATACATGTACATGTTGCCAAGTCTACATTACTTGGGGATGGTTTGAGTAAAGAATAAGAAATTTTATAGGCAAGAGTACATGAACTACAGGAGCATAATTGCTGCAGTGAAAATGCTTCAAAACTACCTCAACATACAACCATCAACAATTTAAAGGACAGAAAGGATGTTCAAACATCAAATAATATTTCTATCTAAAAATGCTTTCATCATTGGAACTGGGCAAGGCTTTAAGTACGTCTCGAAGTGCATAGTAGTGGCTATCACATTTATGATCAGAGATTAGGTTGCCCGAGAGCAGTATTCTCTGGAAATGTTCACCTGGATGTCTCCTCAAGAGAGTGAAATACTCAATGCCTGTCCCGCTGCCACTATCAGAGTAGCCATCTACATTCCTCTTCAGATAGTAAACAGCCCCTGGAACAAATAACTCCTCAGGTACTGCACAAGCAGCTTCTTCCTTTAGAACAACAGTGGCATCCTTTATTTCAGATCTAGAAGCCGAAGGGACCAAGGGAGCAGCTGGTGATTCCTCCCTAACAGGAAATTCTGTTTGCGGAGACATCAAAACAACAATTAGTGAAAGAAGACGCAAGATTCAGCAACTTGGTGGAAAGGCAAGGCTGACTCAAAACTAATCATGAGTACCATATAAAAAGTAGTCATTAATGCAAACATAATCAAAATCGTCATCAGCCTGCTTTCAAGGGCAGCTTAACAAGTATAACTAAAAGCAGCAGTTTAACTTCACTAGTGTGATTTATGCTACAAGGAAATCAACATTATAATCTGCTCCTAGCAAGAGCAAGCTACTTCTAAAAGTTCTCCCAAGTGAGAGCAACAGAAACACCAATTACCATACAGAGGAGAAGAATCTACTTTAATATCATTTCTGAATTTCAAAAGATTGATGAGACAGGTTCAGTATAATTCATACTGCTACCACATCAATATTACCAGTCAAAGAAAGAGGATGGTCTAGCAATCTGATAAACCATTTTAAATATGAGTGAGACTAATAACATTTGATAAATTCATGAGTGATATTGTTATTAGCATAATTTTTCTTACTTCTAAACTTTGCAAAATCAGCGAGCTTCCAAGCCACATCCTGTACTGAAGACATGACATGCTTTGCATTTGTGACCAAATCTATCACACTTTTCCAGTCTTCCTTCTCAACCACACTCATCCTACCAAAACAGAGGAATAAAGTTCATAATTCATATTCCCATTCACACTAACCCCCATTTGCATCTAAAATTTATGCACTAAACTCAAAATTATCTTTAAATCTGGACAAAGAAGTACTGCTTTAATAGAACAGGCGACAATTGGAAATGTTAAGAGAAAAAATTTCATTTATTGGCTGAAGATAACTATTCCACCATCTCCATGAGGGATAATCACTTAATAAGAATATAAGCAAACTCAAATAATTAGGTATAATCATTCATTTGTAAAGTCATCAAGACTAAAGGATGAAATGAATGTTGGCCATACCAATTACAGAATCATTCCACCAAAATGATCATAGTAATTATTTAACTAAAAGCAATCAAGAGAACATGGATATCTCAATCATTTTAGTTTGAAAGACCTGAAATTACATTGGTTAAATGAGGGTTAAGCCAAGAAGGAAATTCAAAATATATCTTAAACATGTATTAAGTTCTAAAAGAGTAATAGCAAGTTTTGCTTTTATTATCATGAAAAATGCCAAAAATAAAAAATAACTGGAGTTTTGAGATTAGTGGCTTCTAACGACTGTGATACATCATACACCATGCAAGTGCATTATAAAAGTTAGTCCTTAAAACTGATGCTAACTTTATCTCTAGACCTTTCATCCTTGAATAACTTCATGCTTGTGTTTCCATTTATTATCAGATCTCAAAAATGAAATTGTGAAAGGTAGAATTACGTTCATTATCAAGCAACTCTTTGCTTGCTTACCAATCTGTTTGAAGAATTTCATTCCTCAGCCTTGCTAGAGAAGCAGCACTTAATCTAGGTACGATATCATCCTTCAAAGAATCAAAGACAAAAAGACCATAAGTAACACAACGTGGAAATTGATAGAAAAAGGAAAAACTACACAATTTAGAGATGCCTCTTCATTTAGAGGAAAGGAAAATTTTGCAAATGTCTCTCAAAAACACAGAACAGATGGGTCAGCATATTGATCTAACTACCTGCATAACAACAGTTGAAACAAAATCAGAGCAACTTTCACCAAGTTCTTTGGACATACAAGGGGGAGTTGCGTATCCGACTGCGGTAACAATGTCAGGGTTAAAACCAAGCTCCTTATGTGATTTTTTTCGAAGCATTATTGCCAGTAAAGAAGCTGTAGCAGCTCCAAGGGAATGCCCCACCAGCCTTAACCTAAATCCCTGTAGATGGATTAGTCTTGCTATTAAAATAAACTAATAATAATTCAAAATTAACCCAAAGAAAACAACATGTACAAGAGAGGGAGGACCCTGAAAATAAACAATGAACCATCCAAAAATATAGAGCAAGAAATTCAGCACCTGATATTTCTCCAAGCACTTTCTTATTGTTCCTATCTCATGTGTAAGAAACCAACGAGCAGCTTCAGCTGTGCCAAAATGAGTTGAATAGCCTTCCAATGTGACTTCTCCATCACTTGAGGTTACAATGTCAGTAATAAGGTCATAGACGGTATGAGTCCCACGGATAGCAAAAATTACAAGTTTCTTACGGGGATCAATTCCTATATAATAGCCAGGCCTCATCACACTGGAATATTTCACAAATTTCAAAATATTGCTTTCTCGAAGCATGGTGTTTCTTGCAATGGCAGCTGTATTATCCCTATAGCATCCTTTCGCTAATTCAAGGTGATAGATGAGATCTTGGACCTAAATCACAAAACAGTTCCTGAATCAGGCTTTATGTTATAAGTTTATAACATACTTAACATGAAGCGATCTTAACTTAATTACTCAATAAAAGGGTTTGGTACTTACAACTGAGTCCGATGTAATCTGAACTCCCTTAACATCTTCAAATGGATTTAAAGATGCCTGCCGAAGATAAATAAGATACAACCCTATTGTAAAATCACTCAAGCTCCAACCTTCTATCCCTATCTTACTCCGCTGAATGCTTGCAATAATCTCAGATACAGATCGAGTGCTAGGCGGCAGCTTATCTATTCCATTCCCTGCTATGTTCATATAATTAATCAGCTGCTATAACCAGCTCCAAAACTAACTAAGAGCTTTCAAAACCCAATGCAACAAGATACAAAGGTGCAAACCTCCACAATGGCTAAACATAACATAGCTTATAAATGCTTAAATACTTGATCTTGATTCTCAAAAGCAGTTAAACTATCCAACTGAGGAAGCAAAACTAGATTAGAGAAATATGATTAAAGATACACATACCTGAGGGCATAGCCCGCTTATAGAGTTGCAGAGCTGGCTCGAGAGCTTTGGTGAGCCAAGCAAGCTCCAACTTCCACTTACTATCGGCTAAATCTACATCACCGGAACTGTACTTGGTGGGTTCCTCCATCTTCTTCTCAACTTTAGGCTTCATGGAAACTTGATCCACATCCTTTGATTCCTTGAATGCATCTGGGTCTACCTTGTCTATTTTTGAAAACTGCAACTGGCACCGATAAAGAACGCCATAGACAAACCTTCTGCAGTTTTCCTGTCTCCTGATAAAAATCTTGGCACCATCTGCAAAACCCAAAAAAACAAAAAAATAATTAAGCAAAACGGAAACAAATTAACTCCAATGATTAAGAAATAGATTAAATTGCATTTCAATTAAATAAAGAGATGAGCATGGATGCTTACGCATGTCGCAGAATAAGAACCTAACAGATTTGATTCAGGATGTCGGAGAGAGTGGGTGTTGTTTTATTTTATTTCATTTTATGTTTATTTATGGGTCAAGACTCAAGAGGGCGGTTCACGGCTGGCGGTGGTGGTTAACAGGTGGCGGCTGTACCGTTCTCGGTGGCGGCGTCAGCGCAACTCCTCTAGGCAGAGAAACCAAGCCAGTGCCTGCCAAGTGAGAGTGACAAGGTTGGCATTAGATTCATGGAAGGGTATTATCGTCATTGACGATATCGTAGCAAATTGTGTATTAATTTTAGGTTAAACCCCTATTTTGGTCCCTGAACTATTGTACGGACCCTCGATTTGGTCCCTAAACTAAAGAAATCCCTAATTTGGTCCTTAAACTATTGTACGAACCCTGAGTTGGTCCCTAAACTATTGTATGAACTCCCAAGTTAGTCTCTAAACTATTGTACGGATGTCTAATTTGGTCCCTACTGTTTACCAATTTAACCCCAACTTGATCATTCTGTTAAATAATAGCTCAGGGACCAAATTGAGGCGAAATTGTAAACAGTAAAAACCAAATTGGGGATCCGTACAATAGTTCAAAGACCAACTTAGGGCAAATTATAAACAGTGGGGACCAAATTGGGGTCCGTACAATAGTTTAAGGACCAAATCAGGGGTTTCTTTAGTTCATGGACCAAATTGAGGGTCCGTATAATAATTCAGAAACCAAAATGGAGATTTAACCTTAATTTTATTATTAATACAATATATATTATATGTCAAAACTATATTGTCCACTATTTTAAATTTATCATTATAAAAAAATATATTTTTATATAAATTAATCGTAAACTTATAAAATAATATTTATTAAACATAAAAAAATCTTATAATGTAAATTTTTAGACAAAAACACAATATTATCAATATTTAAAAAAATTAATTCATTGTTAGTATTTAAATTTAAAATGATTAAGTTGCATGGATCATTATGCAATTTTTCAGAAAGTGGAAGGGTACTCTTTTTTTATCCTTACCATGTGCTTATTGTCATCTTGTATCTTAATAAATATCTCATTTATTGATTATCTAAATAATTTAATAGTTATATTTTTATTAAATATAAAAATTTTTAAATTTAAGTTATATGATATATAAATTAAATGAAATAAGAAATGAAAAAAAATTTCTCTTATTATGCCGCTAAAATAAAAAAATAAATACCTCATTTAAATCGCACCCTCACCAACCCCATGTCCATGCCTATGCCATGTCTCAATATATCATTCAACAACAATTCAGAAAATGGGAACAATAGGCTATTAGGATTGGAAGCATTTCAATTTTGTTTAAATAAAATTTTAAATTTAAATTTAGTAAGTGAAAAAAAAAATACTAAGATTCTCGTGACATTTGACGTAATTTAATTTTAAATTAATTAAAATTAATGTAATTTTTAAATATTTCGCATTAATAAAAAAAAAAGTAATTCAAAAAATTACATGCCTTCTCTCTCATCCTTGACTCCTTCTCCCAAGTACTGAATCACCCGACTTTGAAATTGAAAGTTTGAAACTAAAGATTACAGTCTACCTCAACTTTCTTCTGCTTCTTCTTTTTCTTCTTTTTTCAAATTAAACTATAAATTACAGTGTTTCTCAACTTTCTTCTCCTCTCTTATTGCAAATTCGATTAAACCAGTGCCAGCCACAGACTCACAGCCTTCTTCCTATTATTCACCTTTTTTTTTTTTTTTTTATGTGAAATTGGCTTACAAATTTGTACCGGTTAAAATTAACATACTGCCCAATACACCTTTTTTTGGTTGGTATACAAGTATGATGTCATGTAGTGTACAAATTTTATATGCCAAATGTGGTATGTATCGATATTATCAATTAGTACGATATGAGATTGAAAACCTTAATTATCATAATTTAAGGAAATTCATTATGGCCTAGGAATGGAATTGATGTTGAAGAGTTGGGTTATATCCAGACATGGTGCTTTCTATTAGGGTTGGGCAAGCGGTCTGTTAACTAAATGGGTAATTGAAAATTGTTAAAAAAAAAATTAATGGAATGGTTAGATATAACTAAAAAAATTTGGTATGTTAATGGTTAGAGAGTTGAAAATCTAAAACTGAATATATAACTGAAAATAAAATTTTATATTAATAAATATTATAAATAAATATAAAAACCATCTTATTTAATTTCATTTTCAAGTTTTATTTTATAAATTTTATGATAATTTAGTATTTAAATTTAAAATGTATTTCAAAGTAAAAAAAAAACTCAATTTTTATATTTTACACTCATTTATTCTTTTTTCTTTTTTTTTGCTTTTTTATATTTATATTTCTTAAAAATTTCAAATTTTGATTAAATATATTCTTTATTAAACTTGAAATAGGCATCAATGTTGATTTGGTTATCACTGATGACCAAAATATTGAAACCAATTATTTTGGTTATCAAACCAAAAAATCCATGAAGAATTTGGTTCAATTTCGATTGGTAAAAAAAAAAAGATAGTTGAAAATTTGATTTCAATTAAACCAAAATTGAACAGTGCCTAGGCCTACTTTGTACATACCTTTCGGGCCATAGCCCAACCCATTAGCATTAACTTTCTCTATGTCGATAATTTCATAATGAATTTGTAAAAGTACAGGTTAAAAATGTATTAAATATATTTTTTTATTATAAATTTATATTAAAAATAAAAAT